ACCTGGCTCATGGCTTTTGAGAGATGGAATTAGTTAAGTCTCGTCAGAGGGAAATGAAGGCTGGCGGCCACATCCCATCTGGTTCGAGGCCCTGCCCCCTCGCCCGGCGCACAGAGCCTTCTTTCTTCCTCGAGGAAGAGTGACTCTTTCACAGCCTGCCACGGGCAAAGGAAGTGGCAAGTCCCAGGGCATCCTGAGCCCCTTCAGTCTCTCTAGGGCACCTCACCTCCTTCGGCCTTTCCCAAGTGCAGGGGGAGCGCGGGGCCTGTGCGTGCAGAGCCGAGGCTGGGCAGCGCAGAGCAGAGATGGCTGGGTGCTCACCGCCCAGCCTGCATCATGTCTTAGCCGAAAAGGGCTCCGGAGCCCCTCCGGCCCTCCCCGGCTGCAGCCGCGTGCAGGGACCCGGAGCAAAGGCTTTTCTGAAAAGCTGCTGATCTCAACCCCGCCAGCTCCACATTCCTGGATGATGAGGGAGGGATTCCAGTGTTTACTTTGAACAATGTTTTCCTGTGTCTGAACCGACTGGGTGTTAAATTCTTCCAGATTTCTGGCTCCATGTTGCAACTCCAACGGGACAGAAACAGGTTTACGGCAGTTGGCAGGGGAGCGAAAGCGAGGTCCCGCCGGGCACCTTCTGCAGCTAGAATTTCCACCGGGTGGATGGAAAGGCTGTCGGCACGGGCTCCAGGGGCTCGGTGCCAGGAGGGGTTTGCTGTGGTCTCAACTCTGAGCTTTGAACTGTGCCTTTCGCATTTCCCACCCTAGAGGGCAAAAGTCAGTTTTTCTGTTTGGAAAGGCAGCAAGGAGTGAGATCAAGCGCGGTGCTGAAGGCCAGGCCTTGTGGTGCTTTTCCTGTTGGTATAAACCCAGAAGTTGGGCTCATAAGGAATTCATTTGGTGCAATATTGGGAAACTTGAGTGCATTCCGCTTGCTGGGGCCTGCTGTGTGAGGAGGTTTCGCAGAGATTCGAGGAGGTCAGAGCTGGATGGGAGACGAGGGAGTGGCAGACCTGAATCCTTATTTTTACGCAGGAAGAAATTGACGCACAGAGAGTTCTAGCAGCAAGAGGGCTAGAGTGCTGGGCTGGAAAGACCTGTCCCCAAAACAGCTGGTTAGCTCTCACAGAACTGTACCATTGGGGGTGTGGTAACCTGAAACAATTGCCATTGTTTATTGCTGAGGAAGATGACCACACAACCACATGGGGCCATGGAAGTCGTTCTTCTCTTTATTAAATATTGATGAGTCAGTGGCTTTGAAGATGGAGAGAACTTCAGGAAACCAATAGGATCAATTAATAGGATCAATAGGATCAAGATAAAGGTGCTCTGTCATCCACTGTGCACAATAAACAGTATCTTCATTCTTGTATCCTGGGATGGTAAGCAAGTCAGGGGAACTCCCATGGGACAGACGCTGACTTGCTCTCTTTGGAGTCTTTGGTGAAGCTCCAGCCTCTGGGCAGGTGCCTGGCAGCTTCTTGAATTGGAACAGCCCAAATCTGAGTAGGGCATGGGGCGGATGGTAACCTTGCAACCATTTTAGACCCTCTGCACTCGGACCCTGGAAACCTACTCCTGAACTCCTTTTACGGGGTGTGTGTGTATTCGTGTATGCACAAGCAGGAAAGAAAGATTAGTGGCAATCCCGCTGACTTCAGGACCTAGGTGGAGCCCACACAGTATTTATGAAGCGGCGTTGGATAAAATAGTCCCATGATAGAACTTGACATTTTGATCTGGCTGCTTTCACAAAGCCATTTTGATGCCAGGACATTTTTACTTGGTCTTAAAAAAAAAAAAAAAGAAACCACTAAAATTTCAAATTTCTGTACCTCTCAAGTAATGTGCGAGGCAAGCACCCTCGCACCATCTCTGAGCCCACTTCACTCCTTGCCCCATCCCTCACTCCAATCCTAACCCCTCTGGACACATCAGTATGTCTGCTGTGTCAAAATGGCCCTGTTCAAATTGGCTGTTGGAGGATGGCTTCATTTCTGTGACATATTATAGCCGTAAATTCTTTACTTAAATATATTCTCTTCTTCTAGTAGAGATTGTGCTGTCCCCTAGAGAAGGGGGTGTAATGGGAGGAGGAATTATGTAGTGAAATTGCTCCCACTGCTGGCAGAGTAGGAAGCTCTCCTCTATTCATTCTCATGGGTGGAACTGTTTCCTTGGAACGTCTGGTGAGTGTCTGGTATCAGATCTCTTGCTGTGTAACAAATTACCCCAAAACTTAGTTGCTTGAAACAAACACATGTTGTCTCACAGGTCCTGTGGGTCATGAATCTGAGTGTGACTTAATCGTGTGTCTCTCTCTTGAGGTCTCTCCATGAGGGTGTATTCACGGTCTGGGCTGGGGCTGTGGTCCCATCTGGAGGCTCAGCTGTGGGAGGATCCACTTCCAAGCTCACTCACAAGGTTATTGGCAAGGGTAACTTCCTCACAGGCTGTTGAACTAGGGGCCTCAGTTCCCTGCTGGCTGTTTGCTGGAGACCTCCCTTAGTTCCTTACCACATGACTTCTCCATGGGGTAGCTCATAATATGGCCGCTGGCTTCCCTCAGAGTGAATGAGAGAGCAAGAGAGAGAGACCAAGTGCTCAAGATGGGAGCCAAAGCTCACTTAATTTCAGAAGTGACATCCCATCACTTTTACCATATTCTATTTGCTAGAAATGAGTTGCTAGATGCGGCTCATACTCAAGGGAAGGGGTTCATGAGGATGTGAACACCAGGAGGTGGGATCATTGGGCCCATCCTGGAGGCTGCCTGCCACAGGCCTTATGTCCCATTGGCAGTTCTGATAGGCCAGTGGCTGTGAGGGCAGATGGAATGAGTTCCACGCTCACTCTTACTCCTCTCGCGGAGGTGGAGACCTCCATTGGCAGAGCATTCTGAAGACTTCTCAGGGACAAATAATTCTGAGTTTCTAAACTAACTGGACTTAACCTCCACTCTCTCACCCATCCCTCCCCCACTCCAAGGAAAGCAGAGGAGCCTAAGACAGCCTTTATGTGAGCCACCCCCTCTCTGTGGTCTCTGTCACTCTCTAAATAAAGTTCCATGACACAGCTGCTCTCTCTAGAGCTCATCTAGTCCTCACCTTGGGTGCCAAAGTTATTCAGCAATTTTTTTTTTTTTTACCAAAATGAGCCCCCATTTCATTCAGAGAAGGAAATTTATACCATTAATTCAGGATTCTTGGTCTTCAACAAAAGCCAACTGTTATAAAGATCTTTATGGATCATGAAATATTTTACCTGAATCCATTGGATCATCATTACATCCCATGAGGCAGGATGAGTCTCATCCTGGATATGAGGGAAGTGAGGTTCAGAAAGATTAAGTGACTTACTCAAGATTGGACATGAACAAGTGAAGTTGGATTTCGAAATCAGGTCTCCTGACTCCAAAATCTGTGCTCCACCCTGAGTCCCCTTTAATGTTGCTTGCATACCTAAGGCTCCAAATTATTCCCAGTAGGAATCTGGCGAGACTTCTTGGCCCGATTTTACTCATTAAGTCATTCTAGACCAGGGCTGCAGTGACCTGGGAAGAGAAATAGGATTCAGCTGGGATGGGGGGTGTCAAAGCTGGAGGTTGCGCAGTAGACATAACTGGTGACCTTGGAGAGTTACACAGGGTGTGTGTTTGTGTGCTTGTGTATATGCATGTGTGCACATGCTCATGTGTGTAACTATGTGGTTCATAGACTCTTTCTTATCCTGGTGAGTATGTGGTCCCACTCAGGGCTATGTGTGCATATGTGCATGTGAACACATATGTGGCTACGAGTGGACACGGATGCCTCAGACCTGCCCAGGATCAGAGATACTATCCAGGGGGTGCTCTTTTGGTAGCAGATGGTACAAGTAGTATAAGCAGGGTTGTTGGGACCTGAAAGGTGGGCGGATGGGATGGAATGGGTGAGATGTAGAGATAGCCGTGTGGCAGCATTTGTGTTGGAAGGTCCCCTGAGCCCCTCTTCTGATCTCCTACTGCTCCAGTCTCTCCCCTGCTGTTCAACTTATTGACTCATTTGTGGTGAGATTCATTTTGTGACTAATTTCTCCAGCCTGAAAATTGGACCACGTTGTTTTGGCATTGTGAAAGATGTCACAGTCCTGCATATTAAGGCGGATGATAACAGTCCAACCAACAGGCTCATGTTCCGAGGCCCTGTGCTCAATGCTTTATGTGAATTGTCTCATGACAAAAATCCTCATGACAATCCAAGGCTAGTTCCTGCCATAGTCCCTATTTACAGATGGGAGTGCGAGACTGAGGAAGCTTAAGTATCTCGTTTCTGGTTACACAGCCAAGAAGCAGCTGGCCTGTCCTGAACTCCTGCTCTTAATTCTGTGCTATACTTTACTCCAAACAATTGTGTAAGGTGCAGCTTTACCACGTTAGGAACTTTGGTTAATTCTCTCATCTTTTGCCCTCTTGAGATATTAAAATGCATAACAATGATATCACAGCCGCAAGCAGGAACGGCAAGGAGAGCGCTGGTCCTCTCTCAGCGCCGCAGGAGGGGCGTCCTCAAGGCCAGGCTTCGCTGGGAGAGGACATCCACACAACACACTCCACGAGGGGCCCGTTCCCAGATTTTAAGAGTGTTTGACGTGTCCTTCCACTGTGCCAAGGAAACACATTAAAGCCCTTGTTGTTTAGTTGGATTTCTGACCCAACAAAAACTCCTTTTGTCAGAACTTCAAGATTTCCTGGTGTGTTACTCACACATATTTTCTATGTGGATAGCGGTTACGTTTCATTGCATACTGCTTGTGTATATTTGTGCCTGGAAGGATTCATTTGAAACTAGTAACTAAATATTTCTCTCCAATTTCAAAAGACCTCTGGGGAATTGATAATTGCTATTTTCATAGGCAACAGATTGCTATATATTGGACTGTCCATTTCCCCCAAACCATCTGCATTAGTTATATTATATTATATATTTGCCAGTCTACCTTCTTCATTCTGTGTTTCTCAGCAACCTAGTGAGATGAGCTGCGTCAAGGACTTGCGAGAGCTTGTAGACAGGAGGAGTGAGGACAAGAGAAGATCAGAACGTGGTAAGTCAGTCTGGTCTTTGGGGATGATAATTAGTTCTCAGAGTGGACAAGATGTGGGCCAAGAGTTGACTGGAATTTAACGATCTTACTTCTGAGCCTTAAGAAAAACAATTTAGGGACAGAGAGAGAGGCATATGCTAGATGAGGCACAGAGGAAGGCGTGAGTAAGCCCACCAGAGGGCTGCCTGGCCTCAAAGAAGTGTCATGGGAGCAGTGCTGGAAGGAGAGGTAAAGGGACTAGGGAGTGGGCCATGGGGCTGAATTTATAATCATTCTGTGTGAGGAAAACATATGTTTGTAAAAAGGCAACTCTATCCACTAACAACAGATGGAAGATACCCCGGGCGCTGTGTCTAGTGCTGGTGGGATCTGGCCGTGTGTGGTAGGAGTGGAAGGGACAGAGCGCATGTTGGACCAGGTGGCAAGGGAAATGGAGGTTCGGAGGAAAATTGGAGTAGGACTTGAGTTGGAATTTGGTACATTTAAGCCCCATGGACTTTTCCTGTTAGACGTGGTTTCACTTGGCCTTCAATGAAGCCTGAATCCTAGACAGTTGTGGCTCCAATCGCTGGCATTGTTGCTCTTTTCTGGGCACTTTCACATGCAGTGTCTCATTCGGTCTTCAGAGTAATCCTACCAGGGAGGTATATCATTCCTATTTTATGGATGGGGAAACTTAGGGCTCAGAGAGAGAGAGGGGAAGTGATTTGCCCACTTAAAAGCAGGAAGTGACATCTAACCCAGGCCCTTCTGTGAGCCATATTTGTTTGTCATATTTATCAGTCCCACATTTGCCATTTGACCTTCTCTGGTAGTGGCTATTGTCAAGTCAACTAGTGCATGGTTTCCTTTGTGTTCCGTACAAGTATGTAGCTTTCTGATGTTTGGATTTCCAATAGTCCTTAGAGATTCTAGGGGAAAATTCCAGGGGAAGTTGCAGTAACATCCATTTATCTAGTGATTCTGACCAAAGTGCCTGGGACGGAGCAGTGAATGTGATGGATGAGATCCCTGCTCTCATGGAACTGACCTCCTAGTGGGTTAAGGGAAAATAAACAAATGAGTAAATCATAAGAAATGTCAGTCAGGGATAGTGCCAGGCAGAGAATTGAAATAGGAGATGTGACTGGTGACTTGGGCTATGTTAGGTAGTCCCCTAACTCACTGAAGAATTTATGTTTAGGCTGAATCCTGACTTATTAGAAGCAATAATCCATGTGAAAATCAGGGAAAGTGCATCCCAGGCAGAGGGAGAAGCTGGGGAAGGACCTAATGTGGGAACAAGCTTGGTGTGTTTGAAGGAGAGAAGGCAGGCCAATGTGGCTGGTGTAGTGAATGATGGGGAGAGTGGCACTAAGGCTGGAAGGGTAGGCAGGGGCTAGATTGAGGAGAGCTTTGTAGGTCAAGGGGAGGAATTTGCATTGTATCCTCAATGGAGTGGGAACCATGGGAGTGTTGGCAATGGTATGGTTTAATCTGATTTATGTTTAAAAATGATCACTCTAGGTCCTCTGTAGAGAAGGAATTGTAAGGGAACAAGAGTGGAAGCAGGGAGATGAGTTAGCAGGTATTCAGGAGTCCAGCGAATAGGTGTTGATGTCTTGGGTGAAGATGGAGACGTAGCAAAGTTCAATAGTGGCAGAGGGTGGTGGGGAGAGGATAATGGATTGGGTATTCTAAGTGAAGAAGTAAGAGGAATCAAAGATAACCCTAAGATTTTTGAATTGGGCAATTTGGTGAATGTTGATGCCTCTCTTTGAGATGGAAAAGACCAGAGACGAACATTTTAGGGAGTAAGGTCAAGATTTCTGTTTAAGCCATGAAAACTTTGAGATCCTATTAGACACTCAAGTAAAGATTAGAGATGGCAGCTGAATATACAAGTTTGGACCTTGGGGAAGGAGTCAGGCTAGAGTTAAGATTTGGCAAGTAGATGAGATGTAAAGCCACAGAACTGATGTTACCTTGGGGACATTGGGAGATAAAAAAGAGAAGGGAGCCCAGAAATCATCAATGGGGATTGAGAAGGAGAGTGGCAAGTGACAATGGGAACAAAACAGGTCTGTGTGGTGTCACGGAAGCCAAGTAGGAAAATGTTTCAAGAACATGAGAGTGTTCTGTTCTATCCATGACCATTGCATCTTGGAAGGTAAGAGGGGAGGGCCCTGGAGTGCAAGGGGAGAGGTGTTCTTTGATAAGAATAGGAACACTTCATCCATCATAGTGGGAGGGAAGTCAGCGTGCACAGCAGTAGTTGATAGGTGTGATGGTGGGGAGACAAGGGAGTTCCTGATGGATTCTCAGATTTTTCCTGAAGGAGGTTGAGACAAGGACATCAGCCAAGAGTGAGAGGGAGAAGGAGGAGATGAGGAGGTTTGAGGTAGTTGTCTGGGGAGTGGGAAACCGAAAAGACCTGGAAAGGGAGGAGAGTAGGATGGGCTAGCTATGTTGACTGACTTTGGGATAGAGGAGCAGGAGTGCGGAATGTTAAACAAAAGGATTCTGCAGCTAGACAGCCTGAGTGCAAATCCTGGTTTGTCCCTCCATGGTTGTGTGACCTTAGACAAGCTACTGGGCATTCGTATGGGCTTTAGTTTCCTTGCTTGTAGGATGGGGATAATATAGTTTCTAATGCACAAGATTTTTTGAGGATTCAATTAGTTAATATAGGTTAGGTGCTTAGACTATGCCCAGTACATAGTACATGGCATTTCACGTGAGACCAGTCAGCACAATTGTTTTTCTCTCCCATATGTTTAGTTGCTGAATTGGAGGCACCCGGAAGAGCCCAAAGGTTGGGTTTAATTAGTACTAGGACTTTGTCATGCAAATATGATAGGCCAGAAGGATAAGGAGGTTAATGTTGTTTGTGAGGGATTATAACAACGGACCATGGAATCTAAACAGGATAAAGCAGGGAGCGAGGGCATGAAGGGGTGACAGAGGGAGGCCAGAGTGGATTGAAAGAGAGGAATTGCTAGATTGAGAACTGCTTTGAGGGTGAGCTGGAAGGATAGAGGAGGGAAAAGTTAGAGTGGGGAGCTCACAGTTGAGATTGTGGCTGTTGTGTGGTTATTGGTGACAATAAGAACAATGGACTGACCACAGGGCAGGTGGTGGAGAGTGAGAGGAAGGTGAGGTTAATGGAGGTGAGTAGATCAAGGAAGACTGGGCTGGAGATTTGCATGGATCATTCATGAGATGATGAAGAAACCACTGATGATAGTAGGAGTAATGGCACAAAGGAAGCCAGCGTCCGGGAGCTAAAGTTGTCAGTGACTGAGGGGCAGAGGCCAGGCGTCAGAACCTGTCAACAACCAGGTGGGTCAGGGGTGCTATAGACTGAGGCCACGAGCTGCAAAGAAGGAGGAAGGAAAATGGTTTGAGAAAGGCACTGGGGGCAAGGGAGGACAAGTACCCCTCCAGGTCCAGAAACCTCTGGGTCATGGAGGGAGAAACAGCCCTCCCTGGAGAGGCCTGCAGGGGACGTGGTGTCGTGAAGGCCAGGAGAGAGGCCACTTCCTTTAGTGAGAGCACTCTCAGCAGAAAGTCCCAGGGATGCATGGGGGTCGGGGTATCTCCAAATTTCAGCTGCTTATCCTCAGCTTTTCAGATTTTGAATACAATTTTTTCAGTTCACTCAGGGCTTTTGATCCCTGCCAGTTTTCTCAACTTAATGTGCTAAATGCTATTTACAAGAGGGTCATTTTTGCCTTCCTCTGAGAGCACGGTGGAAGGACAGATTCTCCTCCTGGGTGTTGGGAAAGGTTTCCCTGAGTGGCTGAGCTATGCTCTGGGTTTTGCAGGACATGCAGTTCCTTAGAAGTGGGGAGTGGGAAGAGAATTCAGGGTAAAGGCAGCAAGACTCGCCAAGGAGTCGAGGCACGGGAGCTCGGCGAGTGCGGGGAGCGATGGGGTGCTGGGTGTGCGTGGGTCTGTGTGTGTGTGTGTGTGTAGGAGAGAGAGTGTACAGGGAAGAGTCGTGGTGATAGGAGCCAAGATTGGGAAGCTTTTCTGGGACTAGATTTTAAGGAATGTGCATTTTACTGCATAGGCCGTAGGGAGTAAATAAGTTTTGAACAGAAAGTGTGGCACGATCAGATCTTTCTCAGTTGGTTTCTCTGCTTAGAATGTCATGCCTGGTGTAGTACATGGCACACAATAAAGATTCAGTAAATAGTTGTTGAGTGAATATATTTATAAATGATCATTCTTGCGGCTGGGGAGGATGAGCTGGAGAGAAAGAGAATAGAGGTCAGAAGACATATTTGGGGAGTGGGGCCTGAATCTGGGGTGTAAAAGGGAAGGAGGAGTTGAGTGTCTACTTTGAGAGTTGGGAAGGATGGTGATGTCATCGACCGAAACAGGGCGTGAAGACAGAGGAGATGTTCACGGAAGTATGGGGTGACAACAGATACTGTTTTGAGAAAAAGGCAAAACACTTAGTGGAACTTGTTTAATTAGCAGTTGGAAATAAGAATCTAGTCTTAGAAGACAGATGGGTCCTAGGAGCATCTTTTGGTGATTATCAAGGCGCCACTGGTACCAAAGACTTAGAGTGATAAGGCCTTAGGGAAGTGATTAATTTTGACCAAACTCAAAGGAAAATGATTAATAATTCAGGATGCCAATCTTATAATTTATAATGGGACATATGCTCATGAGTTATTTCATATATCAATTTTCAGAAGATTGCTGAGTGAATAAGAGCAAAAGGAGCCACTTTTCATCAAGTCAAATAGCTAATGATCCCCCCTTTTTATTGACTCACTTCTCAGAGAACAAATATTGATGTTCCCAAGTTCGTGGTTAGGGTTAGGGTTAGGGAGGACGCTTTCAAACTTTGGAAGGGTCTTTTTCACTCTTCCTTGCTTTCTCAGTAGAAAATATGGGATAAAATTCGACAATTTCTTGATGCTCACACGAGCATCTGTGATTTTTATCGGGAGTGGTAATGTTGGAATGGCCTCATGACAGTTGGGGGCTGGAGTGGAGAGTTG